CTCTTCTCTAATGGTCGGGCAGCCCAGTGCCCCCTTATACTGTCAACTGAAAGCAAAGTCATAATTTAAAACATTGGCCTGTCATTCAGACTACCTTCAATGTCAAATTCATTGCTTACAGTCCAGTGCGCAAGCGCTCAAGGGAGTGTGATTGCAATGAACAATTTGGGAAGCAAATTAGTGAGTATTCCCTTAATGGTAAATGCACACGTGCTTCAATGCCTTTTATGAGTGACAATTTCCTTTCTGTCCAATTTGTCAACAGCTCAGATCAAGCAATTCTACTGCTATTGCTCGCTATTCGATAAATTTGCATTGAGCTATACGACATGTGTACGTGTAGCATGACAGCTTTTTTGACTGTGTACATTTTCCATTGTCAATGATTCCAAGATTTTTCAAGCCAAAAAGTTCTCTGTTTTACACAATGATGAAGCACAAAGGAAACTTATAGCTCTGAACAACAAAGTCGCGCATTTGTTTTCGTCCGTGCAAACAGAAAAAAAAATTGTATGTGCACATCTGACTACCCTCCATCTGAGCAAATGAAATGTGTCTGCATTGTTAACTTATACCTGAGCGGTAGTGTACCGTACCATCAAAAAGTATTTTTAAGTTAAAACTCTTCTCTGTAGCCGTAAAAAGCTCCTGGATGAGAATAAGATTTAATGTCTTCTCCATGATTTGAGATTGAAGGATTTCTGTCTTCAGCTGATTAAACAAGTGCGATAACTGTGAAATGAAAAAGAATATGAGAATAACATAAAGAACTCAAAATTATCTAACTAATATTCAGCAGCCATAAGCCCTCAGTTTTTATAATAATTGTTTTTTGGCTGTGGGCTGTTTGCTCCACATAAGTCATGTTCTCTTCAAACTGGACAATGACCTGAGGTTAKGCAATACAGCTGCAATGCATTAGTAATAAAAATGTACCTGTTTTCAATATTAGCAAAGTGTTTCCTGAGGAGATTTTTTACATAGACTTAAATGAAAAAGAGAACAGAATTTTACGTCAAAAAAAAAAAAACAGAAGACAGACCTCCAACGACAAATACATGTAAATAGATAAAGCAGCATTAATTGCATAAAAGGAAAATCAACAATCAACTAGTGGTTTGACCAAATTGCATTTATTTGACAGACCTTCCGTCCCCAAATTTAGAATTTCAGCGTGTTATTAAATAAATGTATGTAATACTGTACTTGTACACTCTGTTTGATCCAGTGGGTGAAGTTGGTGTGGAACTCTTTCGACCGTGACGGAGTGTAGATTTCTGAAGAGAGAGGCAATCAAAATTTATAATCAATTAACCCTAAAAATTATTTACATTACAAGACAGTGTATCAAAGGTATCGTGTACAAGAGATTTCTTTCTGTGGACCTAAGTTTTGACAACAAGATTCACATTTCCTGTCTGCTCATCACTTGAAACTAGTAAAAACAGTGCTGGTTAAGCAAACCAAAACACCTTACTAGTGTACCAACTTTACATCGCTAGTTTTTAATTACCTCATTTTATAAAAATCCCTTGTTGAAAATCCTTCAAATATACTGAGACTCTCGAAGAAAATTCAGGCCTCAACATCAACGATAGCTAACTAGCCCCAGGCTAGTAGAAATTCAGTTTTGGCTAGTGGTGCTTGATTTCCACTTGCCAGTTTGGCTAGGAAAGAAGCTGAAACAGTCGTAACATCTAAGTTGTCACTTGGCTAATAAGTTGAAAGAAAAGTTAATGTTGATCCCTGAAATTTGTTTCTAAGTTTTAAGAAAAATGGAAAAAAACTGTTGCAAATTAAAACAACTGTACATGTGTGAATCAAGTTCATTTTCAAAATGTGCAGAAAGGTTCATGCACTGTAATTTTTCTAATTTTCTAATGCCAACAGTGTACACATGGGAAATACAATCTGATTAGTTCCAAGTCTTGCACATAATCTGAAAAAACAACATGGCTCCACAATAACCTGGTGGCCCCTAATCTTTATAGCTCTAAATTTCAAACTTATTGTAAGCCCTTGAGACATGAGGGTTAGTTTATTATGACTACACAATGTACAGCGTGTAGCTCTTTCATGCGAAGAAACCCAAACTGCCATGATCTGCACTGGTTGCTAATAACGGCATTTTCTGTGCTGAAGCCTGTTTTCCATATTTACATGTATGTACATGTAGGGAAAAGCCCCTTTGATTCACAGTTTCACTGTTTCTTAACTGTCCCAAAGTTTTCAAACAAATAATTATAGAGGTTGTTCTTAAAACTGGACAAGTACTGAGAATGGAAGATGATTGGAGAGCTAACTTCAATGCTGAATTGTTTTCACTAAGTGGAATGGCTATCGCATGGCTTGATGCCATTTGCTCTTACATCTTTTTGTAAACTATCAGAATGTGATGGTTTTTGGTCTTCAAATCTCCTCCAAGAAATTCTGCAACATCATGAATCTAGAGGGAAAATGATCATGATTGTATAAAAGAATAATCATTTAATTTTTTTAAAAAGGCCTGTTTTCTGACCAACAATTTCAAGGATTCTTCTATCACTTATTTAGAATAGTCCATCATCACTCGCAATTATTCAAAAGTATTGTTTTTACTTTTTCTTGGGATTTACAATCATCTTGACAGCTAGATTAATTAAATTTAAGAAAATTCGAAAACTGGATTTTGCATAGGAAATACAAAGTGTATTACAGGTTACTCAGATATAGGAAATGCCAAAAGAAAATCAATGTTAAGCCCTTAAGTTGGATTCTTCAAGTGCTGGATACCAGAACATTTTATGGATAGTTATTTCACTTTACAGATATCAATTTTCCAATTAAAAATGCTCATAAAAACAAGTCTCTGTAAGAATCAAACATCTTGGGAAATGAAAATTTTCAACCCCTCTTCAAACCTT